GAGCGTGATTTTTGAGCCGAATTCTGACTCTCTGCACCTATTTTCAGTTTCAAATTACGACGTTTCATACCGAAAATATGCCAATTACTGAAAACAGCGATGGGTCATATTTTGCCCAAACCCCCCTGCAGTTTTCAAAATGTCTGAAATGTCGGAAATTTGACTCCTGAGCGTGATTTTTGAATCGAATTCTGACTCTCCGCACCTATTTTCAGTTTCAAATTACGACGTTTCATACCGAAAATATGCCAATTACTGAAAACGGCGATGGGTCATATTTTGCCCAAACCCCCCTGCAGTTTCAAAATGTCTGAAATGTCGGAAATTTGACTCCTGAGCGTGATTTTTGAGCCGAATTCTGACTCTCTGCACCTATTTTCAGTTTCAAATTACGACTTTTTATACCGAAAATATGCCATTACTGAAAACGGCGATGGGTCATATTTTGCCCAAACCCCCTTGCAGTTTTCAAAATGTCTGAAATGTCGGAAATTTTACTCCTGAGCGTGATTTTTGAGCCGAATTTTGACTCTCTGCACCTATTTTCAGTTTCAAATTGCGACGTTTCATACCGAAAATATGCCAATTACTGTAAACGGCGATGGGTCATATTTTTCCCAAACCCCCTTGCAGTTTTCAAAATATCTGAAATGTCGGAAATTTGACTCCTGAGCGTGATTTTTGAGCCGAATTCTGACTCTCTGCACCTATTTTCAGTTTCAAATTACGAAGTTTCATACCGAAAATATGCCAATTACTGAAAACAGCGATGGGTCATATTTTGCCCAAACCCCCCTGCAGTTTTTAAAATGTCTGAAATGTCGGAAATTTGACTCCTGAGCGTGATTTTTGAATCGAATTCTGACTCTCCGCACCTATTTTCAGTTTCAAATTACGACGTTTCATACCGAAAATATGCCAATTACTGAAAACGGCGATGGGTCATATTTTGCCCAAACCCCCCTGCAGTTTTTAAAATGTCTGAAATGTCGGAAATTTGACTCCTGAGCGTGATTTTTTAGCCGAATTTTGACTCTCTGCACCTATTTTCAGTTTCAAATTACGACGTTTCATACCGAAAATATGCCAATTACTGAAAACGGCGATGGGTCATATTTTGCCCAAACCCCTCTGCAGTTTTTAAAATGTCTGAAATGTCGGAAATTTGACTCCTGAGCGTGATTTTTGAGCCGAATTCTGACTCTCTGCACCTATTTTCAGTTACAAATTACGACGTTTCATACCGAAAATATGCCAATTACTGAAAACGGCGATGGGTCATATTTTGCCCAAACCCCCCTGCAGTTTTTAAAATGTCTGAAATGTCGGAAATTTGACTCCTGAGCGTGATTTTAGAACCGAATTCTGACTCTCTGCACCTATTCTTAGTTTCAAATTACGACGTTTCATACCGAAAATATGCCAATTACTTTAAACGGCGATGGGTCATATTTTGCCCAAACCCCCCTGCAGTTTCAAAATGTCTGAAATGTCGGAAATTTGACTCCTGAGCGTGATTTTTGAGCCGAATTCTGACTCTCTTCACCTATTTTCAGTTTCAAATTACGACTTTTTATACCGAAAATATGCCATTACTGAAAACGGCGATGGGTCATATTTTGCCCAAACCCCCTTGCAGTTTTCAAAATGTCTGAAATGTCGGAAATTTGAGTCCTGAGCGTGATTTTTGAGCCGAATTCTGACTCTCTGCACCTATTTTCAGTTTCAAATTACGAATTTTTATACCGAAAATATGTCAATTACTGTAAACGGCTATGGGTCATATTTTGCCCAAACCCCCCTGCAGTTTTCAAAATGTCTGAAATGTCGGAAATTTGACTCCTGAGCGTGATTTTTGAGCCGAATTCTGACTCTCTGCACCTATTTTCAGTTAAAAATTACGACGTTTCATACCGAAAATATGCCAATTACTGAAAACGGCGATGGGTCATATTTTGCCCAAACCCCCTTGCAGTTTTCAAAATATCTGAAATGTCGGAAATTTGACTCCTGAGCGTGATTTTTGAGCCGAATTCTGACTCTCTGCACCTATTTTCAGTTTCAAATTACGACGTTTCATACCGAAAATATGCCAATTACTGAAAACAGCGATGGGTCATATTTTGCCCAAACCCCCCTGCAGTTTTTAAAATGTCTGAAATGTCGGAAATTTGACTCCTGAGCGTGATTTTTGAATCGAATTCTGACTCTCCGCACCTATTTTCAGTTTCAAATTACGACGTTTCATACCGAAAATATGCCAATTACTGAAAACGGCGATGGGTCATATTTTGCCCAAACCCCCCTGCAGTTTTTAAAATGTCTGAAATGTCGGAAATTTGACTCCTGAGCGTGATTTTTTAGCCGAATTTTGACTCTCTCCACCTATTTTCAGTTTCAAATTACGACGTTTCATACCGAAAATATGCCAATTACTGAAAACGGCGATGGGTCATATTTTGCCCAAACCCCCCTGCAGTTTTTAAAATGTCTGAAATGTCGGAAATTTGACTCCTGAGCGTGATTTTTGAGCCGAATTCTGACTCTCTGCACCTATTTTCTGTTTCAAATTACGACGTTTCATACCGAAAATATGCCAATTACTGTAAACGGCGATGGGTCATATTTTGCCCAAACCATCCTCTGCCTGCCTGTTGCTGATTGGCTGGTGTCTCGTCGCACCTGCCCTCCGCCACCACCAGAAGTCGACGTCTGGGCTGCAGTGTGCCAGTCTCGTCAGAATACCTCAGTGCTCCATGCAGTTGACATCTCTCGCTGGTAGACTAAGCCTTGGCTTTCGTGTACTAAGGGAGGTGGCAGCTCGAAGCCAGTATTCCATATAATATATATATATATATATATATATATATATATATATATATATATATATATATATAATAATAATATAATGTAATGGTGTGCAGTGTGAGATGTACGTCACTGACGTAGCACCATGCATGCACCCACAGGGTCGTGGGTGCTGGGTTTAGCGTGGGTGTCTCCCAAGGAGTACCCCAAGTCATGGGGACCAGACCCACATGGGCTAGGGCGGGGAGTTTGGTCTCCCAGTTCCCACTTTCTCCTGAGAGGTTATAGGTCAGCATCCTACTAGGCACGAATATCAGGTATCACTTTCATTCAGTATTAAGTTCTCCTTTAGTGTGATAACTAACGAGACGGTGCTATATATATTAGTGCGATTCTTGTATCACCCGTGCAATCTTTGCAACATTAGTACGGTTCTTGTATCGTCTGTGCAATCTGTCTATATCCGTACGATTCTTGCAACATCACCTGAGTAAACTTGTTCCACCGCTGTTGAGCCAAATAACAAAAATTACAGAGGAGCATATATGAGGAGAGTCGTTTGGTAAAGGCATTAATGCTATATGGTCTTTGGTTATGCTATCTGGTCGAGGGACCAGGAAACGCCGTCTGGTCAAGGGAGCAGGGAACGCCGTCTGGTCGAGAGAGTAGGAAACACTGGTCGAGGAGCAGGAAACGCCGTCTGTTCGAGGGAACAGGAAACGCCGTCTGGTCGAGGGAGCAAGGAACACCGTCTGGTCGAGGAAGCAGGAAACCCCGTCTGGTCGAGGAGCAGGAAACGCCGTCTGGTCGAGGGAGCGGGAAACGCCGTCTGGTCGAGGAGCATGAAACACTGGTCGAGGAAGCAGGAAACAGTCTGGTCGAGGAGCAGACAGTGAGCAGAGGAACACTCGTTAATCTGCCGTTAGTCTCGTTATTACCAATTGTCTAATCGATACCCTTAAATTCCAGCCAATTCCTATTATGATATTCTTAAGAACCCCCAATTTTTTTTTTCTGACGTGAAATATATTGTTCATCGGCAGCGTCTGGGATCCTCTCAGACGTGGGTTCGAACCCTCATCACGGCCCTTGTGGCTTTGTTCATTTGATGCAACACGCTATTGTGAATTCTGTGTGTAGTGTATAGTGTTCGTGTTGTCCGGCACTGCATCCTGCAAAGGCAATCACATCGTGACTTACCAAGCAATTGCTTTATTGCTTACCAAGATATATACTAATTACCGACTTCCGTCTTACAAGGAACAATATCAACCACAGACCGGTATGAAACACGGCTCCGTGGGCCGCTGGCGCCGCCACCTGCCACGTTTTATGTGAGATATTTTTTTATTATTATTTATTGTTTTATATTCTCCAGGAATTGCATTTTTTTTTTCTCTAGATTTGACCCAGACTTGTGTTTAGGAAGCAATGGCTTATGTTTGTTTGGATACTCGCTCAGAGTTCAATAATATGACTTCGGAGATGTATGTGTTTATTGTAATTTGTGCTCTGTTATGTATCTTGAGATGATTTCGGGGCTTAGCGTCCCAGCGGACCGGTCCTCAACCAGGCCTCCTTTTTGTTACACACCCCCAGGAAGCAGCCCGTAGCAGCTTTCTAACTCCCAGGTACCTATTTTACTGCTAGGTGTACCTATTTAACTGCTAGGGGCATCAGAGTGAAAGAAACTGCCCATTTGTTTCTGCCTCCGCCGGGGATCGAACCCGGAACCTTAGGACTACGAATGCCGAGCGCTGTCCACTCAGCCGTCAGGGCCCCCTGTAGGTACAAATAAAATATAACTATATAACTGTTTCTCTGTTAATATGAACGACATATATATATATATATATATATATATATATATATATATATATATATATATATATATATATATATATATATATATATATGATGTTATGGTTAATTGTTATGCACGTGGACTACCAAGACCCGTGGAGGGTCCGTGCCCAACACGGACGGTGCTTGGTGGTGTCAGCCTCCATCAGCGTCATGGGGGCCGCTGTCGTAATTTACGACCTCGCTGCCAGCTTAGTGGCTGGCCACGCTCCCATCGTTATTTTACTCG